TACATAAAATTATAAAAAAAATCATACAAAAGAATTGTTTTTAAATTATTTCTTTATAAAAATATAATTATTTTAAAACTGGGGAAATAAAATTTTAACCATAAAATAAAATAGAAAAAAGGAAAACCCCCGCAATTTCCTGATTTGGAATTAAAAAAAAAAAAAAAACCTACCCCCAATTGGGAAGATTCCCATCTCATCACCATTCTTCTATCTCTAAACCAAGTCGAAAATTCTTGCTCCGATTGATAACCAACATGAGGAATTCTTCCTCTCCTCCTCCCCTCCCCTCCCCTCCCCTTTAAATACCTCCTCCACCACCATTATCTACCGTCACACACCGCTCCATTTTCCCTCCCATTCTTCGTCTTCTCCGATTCCGATTCTTCGCAATGGCTCTCAAAGCCGTCCATGTCTCCGATGTTCCCCATCTCGATCAAGTCCCGGGGAACGCCGCATTATCCGTTCGTTCCCCACAATTCTCCAAATGTTAGTCAATTTCTTAGAATCATCGTAATCAAATTAATGTGTGTTTCTGGTTTTTTAATTCTTTGACTTTGTATAGGTGTTAATGAGGATGAAAATGAAAAGTGTGGATATAAGTTTCCAAAATTTGTGGTGATTGGACATAGAGGGAGTGGGATGAACATGTTGCAATCGTCGGACGGGAGGATGAAATCGATCAAGGAGAATTCAATCCGCTCCTTCAACAACGCCGCTAGTTTTCCGATCGACTTCATCGAATTTGACGTTCAGGTGAGATTAACTGTTGTCATCCACAAATTCTTTAGTCTTGTTTTTCTCGCATTTTCTTTGCAACCAAACAGAAAATGCGTAAATCCAACGTCCTGTCTTTTGCAATGCAATCACCCATATAGTTTTGTGTTTTCCGTGTTTTCCGTCGGGATCCTCTGTTTTCAAAAAACAAAAAGGAAAAATCATATGCTAAGCCCCTGAACTAATCCTAAATTAATTATTAAGCCCTAAACTTTAATTAACGCATATAAATCTCAAAAGTCCACGAATTTAGCCCTTATTCTTACATTAGATAAGGAATTAAAGACTAAATTACTCAGATGGTGGTTTAAACAGGGCCTGGGACCAGGGATGGCGGCCCGCCTGGTCTGATTGCAGGCCGATGCCTGTTCGACTTGGCGAAGCTGGCTCCGTGGATTAGTTCCGTCGGAAACACGTGTCTTATTGCCCTAAGAAAAATCCAACTCGCAGTTGATTTCCACCGCCATCGCCACCGCCACCTCCCCCTCTTTAAATTCTTTTTTTTCCTTTTTTTTTTCTTTCACTTTTTCAATTAACATGGTATTTAGAGTTTTGCCTTCTAATTTCACATATACTTGTAAATTTGTTTATGTATAGATAGACACTAATTTTAAGGGGATAGAGGTAATCCATTAAAATTGCTTGGACCGAAGTAACGTTGAAGAGATTGGATACTGCATTTCTAACATTTTTTTAACGTTATACAAATTATTCTTTAACCTCATAATTGATTAAACGTGATTAATTGATTGATTTATTAATTTATTTTCTGCAATTCTAGAAATAGTTCAAGAATCTACATTTAAACGGGTACTGATTGGTTTTTCTTGTTTTTTCGTTTCTTTCTTATGCCAAATTCTTGCTTTCATTAAAGATTGGGTGAGCAAGAACCTTTACACTATAAAAAAAAAAAAACCACTATTTCTTGTAGGTGACAAAAGATGACTGCCCAGTCATTTTCCATGACAACTTTATCCTCAGTGGAGACAAGGTTAGCTTTTTTTTTCTTTTTTTTTTTAATCTCAAAATTCCCTTTCTTTTCAAGGCATTTCAGTAGGATCATAATCTGGGTGGTCAGAAATGAATACTGTTTTTTATTTTTTCTTAATGGGTGTGAAATTTTCAGGGTGCCATTGTTGAGAAGAGAGTTGCTGAGATTACACTTGATGAATTTCTTTCATTTGGACCCCAAATGGAGCCTGAAAATGTAATCATCATTATTGCTCCATTTCTCTTTTGGCTTAATTGTGTGGTAAAATGGTATAGTGGGTATTGATTATTTTTGGCTCATTTGATCTTTTGCTGCTGGAATTCAGATGGGGAAGTCACTATTTAGAAAAACAAAAGATGGGAGAATCTTTGAATGGAAGGTTGAGAAGGATGATCCTCTATGTACATTGCAAGAGGCTTTCCAGAAAGTTAATCATTCTGTGGGATTTAACATCGAATTGAAGTTTGATGATCAAATTGTCTACAAGGAGGAGGAACTCACTCATATACTTCAAGTCATTTTGCGGGTAATCTTGATTGTTTCATCAACTTCATGTTAGATAGGAAACTTAATCATTGCATTATCGCATCATAGCTTCTTGCTTTTATGCAATGATAACGACATTCTTTAAAATTCATGATTCAGGTTGTATTTGAGCATGCCAAAGGGAGGCCTATCATCTTCTCAAGCTTTCAACCTGATGCAGCCTTGTTGGTTAGAAAATTGCAGGGCACATACCCTGTACGACCACTCTATTTCTGTCTATTGTCTCTAGATTTTTCATTTGATATTGGTCTAGGATTCTTGCATGATGAACGATAGTAGGATTTCATAATAATGAATTTTGGTTTTGATGTATTGCAGGTATTTTTTCTCACTAATGGGGGATCTGAAATTTACAGCGACGTTAGAAGGAATTCATTGGATGAGGCCATTAACTTGTGCTTGGCTGGTGGCTTGCAAGGGATTGTATCTGAAGTCAGAGCCATTTTTAGAAATCCAGGGGCAGTTGCAAGAATAAAAGAGTCCAAGCTTGCCCTCACAACCTATGGCCAGTTGAAGTAAGCTGTATTTTTCACCTCATGACCTTGTAATTTTCAGCGTTTCAAAACCAATCTACAGAAAATTACATGTGCATTTTTATATATTGCAGTAATGTACCAGAGGTTGTGTACATGCAACATCTAATGGGCGTTGAGGGAGTTATTGTCGACCTAGTTCAGGAGATAACTGAAGCAGTCTCTGATCTAACCGGTCCAACCAAGGAAGGTAAAGAAGAAAAGAACTTCTTTGAAGAGGAAGGGATGGTGGAAGTGAAAACAAGGCCCCAGTTCTCAAAGGATGAACTCTCATTTCTAATGAAACTCATACCGGAATTGATTCAACCTTAATACAACAGAACAACACAGAATACCATTACTAGTTTCTTAAAACATGACTTTTGTTTCTTTAGAACATTCCACTAAGTAGAGAAGCGGCTTCTACAACAGCTGGTGTGAATAGTAGTGTTGGTTTTCTTCCCTGCCTTGACTTTCATACTGATTGATTAATCCCTGCAGCTGTTGCTGTCTAGTTGTAAGTTTGTAACTTGTGTATCCAGCCAACAGAGGTGGATTAGCATTGGGGTTGGCATCTTGTTGTAATCTCTTCGTGTGTTAGCCAATGAAATGAAATTTACACGATCTCTGCAGCTGGTATTTCTGCACAGCTATTGTGATTTTCTTGAGTTAATTCAGTGGCTGGTGGGCTATTTGTTAGGCCTATAGAATTTCAAATGGGCCAAAATGATGCAATTATAGACTTGGTATGGTGTGATTCTCAAACTTATGATGCAATTATTGGCTGAAACAGTCACACTTATCCAAGCTCATCTTCTCCATTTTTAGGCTTTTTGGTAATGGTTCTGGGCTTAGGGCCTGACCATACACCCTTCTTTGAGTCAAAATTTCTGGCCTAAACTCAAAATAGGCTGGTGCTAGCCTAAGCTCAAAGATTTGTTTAACCATTTCAACCCAAAGTAAGGAGTGTTTTAGCAGAAGAGTTCATGGTTTTGCAATCTGCAAAATCAGGACCACCAGATGGGAAGCCCCACTCATGTTTGATAATCAATGTTGTAAAATCAAGTATAATCTAAAATTCAAGTTAGCAGACTTGTACTAAGTTCTTAGTCTATAAAAAGTAATAGTTTAAGGGACATAATCTCCTGATTCCATTAAAACGTGTATTCTAGATTCTCTTATAAAGATACGAAGAATTGATTTCTTGTGAGTTTCTTAATGTGAATGGCCTATTTATAATTAAACCAAAAGACACTTATCATTGGCCGCAAATCTGTGAATTCCGTATTGCTTAACCGTCCAAATGTCCTTTACTAACACGTGCACCTACTTACACTTGAAACAAAAAGAATAAATGCCACTAGAACCAAAAAATAAAGACGTGGCTTTGTTGAAATTGCAGCTTGCTAGCTTCAAAAAATGGTGGGCGGTTGGACGGATGACTTGGGTAAAGCAAACCAACAAACCTTCTATGTGCATTCACATGGCATCATATGTGCGTGTTTGTTCCCATTAGCCCTTAGCCCTCCCTTTTTGAGCGAAGTTTCTTCAACCTGCCAAAGTAATCTACTTTTTTTCCTGCTTTAGATGCTCGAAATTGCATCTTCGTCTACTCGACAAAGAGTACGAATGTGTACGATTCTAAGATATGTACAAGCATTATTTAATCATTTGACAAGTCCACCAATACAACTTAGCACCCCCTGCTTTTCTCTAATGAATATATAGTTAGTTTTGGGATGAGAAAATTTAAATTTGACACTTTCTAAATTCAATTTATGTCAATAAGATATATTTAATTTAAATAGATAAAATTTTATCGTAATGTGTTTATTTTGGAATATAAGAATTCAACTTCATTAAAAATTTTTAAAAGTCAAATTTATTTATTATTTAAGTTGAATTTTTTTTAAATTAACGAAGTACACACAACATTACTCAATTGAATGAAATATTATAATAATACATATAAACATGAATACAAGAAAAAAAAACTTTAATCTCTAAATGTTTAATTTTAATTTAATCCAAATGATATAACTAATTTAGACATGAAAGAACTCAAATTTGAAGTTTCAAAAAATCTAAACTTGGTCATCAATCAATTGGCTTCAAAATGCCGGAGTGCATCCGACAAATACCCTATGGATGGAACCAATATTGTGAGGGGTCTGATTCAAAGTTTACGTATTAAAATTGGAGAAGTTAAGATCTAAGAGACCCATGAAATCTCTCATCTTTCTTCTTCAATCATCTTCAAATACAGCACCACAAATTTCTGTCTTTTTCACTATTACTGCTCAAATCTTCCAATATTTCTCTTGATGTTTACGGCCATATATCAGCCATCTTTTTGGAAAATTATTAGTCATACACTCGTTTCAAGATTCAGACACGAGTAACAAGTTTCACTTTAAATTATTTTGAGGTTCAAACACGGATAATAAGTTTTATTTTAAATAAAAAAAGTGGACTAAAAAGTAATTCAATTATAAATCAACAACTTAAAAGAAATTTCTTGGTTCAACCCTGAAATTTCTTTTATGGATTTTGAATTTCTCCCCCTTCTCTTGTTCTAGAAATTACAACCCATTGAATAGTATTGCTTTGCCCGTTTTATTGTTTACAGAAGATGACTGCTTCAGTCCAGAAACTTTTGAAATTATTTTCCGGGTCCAGAATGGCTCAAACTTCAACCCATGACTTCATTCCCTTGTATTTTTGGGTTTCCCCTATTAAACGTTCTTCTGAAGTTTGATCACAGAAAGAGAAATGGAGCCAGAAAAGATGCCAGAAGAAAAGGAAATGCATTATACATAAATGATTGACATAAAGGAATTAGCACTAATTCCTTCATCATGATAATTAATCTGTTCTCTATTGAATTAATAATATGTTTTAAAGGCATAGTCCCCTGCTTTATTTTAATGCTTGAAGTGTAAAGGCATCCCCTTCTACCTAAAGTAGGATTCAGTCAATATTCTGATAAGACCCCTTCATTCTTTTCACCTATATTTCAAGATTTTGATGCTCTTCGTCCTCACTTCTATCATAAGCTTCTTCTTCTTTTCTTTTCTTTTTTTTTTTTTACTAATGATTTCAATTAAAAGTAAATCATTTATATATGTAAAAATTCACAAGAATTACGTTCTCCTAATATTATTAAAGAATCAAACCTTAGAAGAGAAAAGCTTCTTTTATGTTTCTAGGTATTAAACTGTTAATTTTCTATCTTCTACGAAAGCCCATTTCTCCATATCAACCATGTAAAAAGAAAAGCCAAAGCTTCGATTTTCCTCGTATGTGAACAAGGAAGAGAAGTGTGTGTGTAGTCCAACACAATGGTATTAATAATCAAGATGCTTCTAAGGAGGGCAAACCTTTTTAAGTTGAACCAGATATTAAACAGAAGGCTGAGTCTCTTAAAAAGGAAAAGAAGAGGAGGGGAGGAGGAAAGGGAAACCAGTTCCAAGCTTGGCATCACCAAACTAAATAGGACATTTATTAGAGATCTATCTGAAGGGAAAAGAATTAAGAATCATGCTTTTCAGTCTGAATAAGCTGAAAATTTTGAGCATGAAAAATCTATATTATTTCTTTCTCTCTTTCTTTTATCATTCAGTGACATAATAAACCTTTTATGTTCAAATTAGTTATTTTTACCAGTTCAGACTAAAAGCCATGTTTATATACTAAAAAAGAAAGAACAGAAAGAGGGGGGTTCATAGATTATTAGAAGCACAGGGTTTTTTTTGGCACTGAACTACATTTTTTACTCAAAGCACAATAATTGCAGCCTTCAACGTTCCTCTTTGAATAATTAAAAACCTTGCTCGACACCCACACGCAATCTCCTTTGACCCTCCATTCCCTCATCCCATGGAGAAAAAAAGCAAAGAAGTTTATTTACATTGTGGAATGGGGAAAAAAAATCAGAGAGCCGCAATTTGTCTTACGAAAGCTAAAGGTAAAGCGCAAGTTGGATGTGTGAGGCACTTGCCCGTGGGAATCTTCCTCTTTTTTTTTTTTTTTTTTGAGGGGTGGCTTTGGTTCAAATTTGCCCAAAAAGGGTCTCTTTATTTGTGACAAAGGAGTTTTCCCCTCTCCCTACGGAATCAGGCTCCTTTTATTTGTCAATGTTTGAGGCTCTAATTTAACTATCTCAACTGTCCCACGTTACTCCCCACTCCAAATTTAATTTCCCTCAACCGACCCTTCCATTTTTGGGTTTCTTTAATAATGTCGTTGCCCCTTTTTTTCCTTAATAAAAATGTCCTTTTGATCTAATTTTCCATTTTAAGTGTATTTTGCACTCTTATATTTATTTATTCTGGGTGCTTGGGACTACGGGAGTGCATCAATGACATGGGATCCAATCACTTCATACTTTATGTTATTTGACTGAGATCTTCAAGCATTTTAACTATTTTTTTAAAGTAAACAATAAATTAATCTTGTTGGTGGATTGAAAGACCTACATGCCCTCTTCTTTCCCATCTATAGGCATTGGAATTGTAGATCAAATTATATACATTTGGAGTTAGTGATAATTTGAGTCAATTAAATATTTCCCATATTAAGAGACCATATTATATATATTTTATGTTATCTTTTTAGTAATGTATCTCAGTTAATAAAAACTTGAAGTTTTAAATTAAAAATTTTAAATTTAAATCTTAATATAATCGTGTTTTCTAGAAATCAAGAAAGATATAGGTTAAACAAATGCTAAGTTTGCATTCTAATCAAGTTAAACACATATATTTAACATTTTGTGATTAAAAGCATAAAATTATTTACCAATTAAATTAAGGTTAAACTATGAATTTAGTCAACTTTGATACAAACCCTTTATTAGTTTTAGTACAAATCCCTGATTTGTCTTTAAATTAAATAAATCCTTGTTTTGATCGTTAAAGTTCTAAATTTTAGCTCTTTTTTAATCTTTTTCTTAAATTTTCACTTACATAACATAATAATTGACTTCACACCCTATTTTTTTCTTTTACAATAATGATGTGGAAATTTTACAGGACAAAAAGTGATGATGCAGACAAAATTCATTGTCATATTGGCTTTAAAAACTTGTTTAATTATAAAATTATTATTAGTTAAACATTAATCTCAATTTATAAACTTTTCTATATGAAACCTTAATTTCGTCCTTAAACTAAATAAATCATTACTTATTTTGAAAAAAAAAAAAAGGGGAAAATTTAAAATAGTAGGGACAAATATGTGAATTTAATTAGTTTGTGGATGAAATCAAGTGTGGTTTGTAACCAAACCAAAATGATGGTTTAATCTAAAATTAAACCAAGATGCGAAACAGCCAATTCTGAGTGGGAGGACTAATGAAAAGTCGACAAATTGAACTTGTTGCATTAGTTAACAACAATATTAATACTTAGTACAAACCAAAAAGAGTGATGCAATTTTACGACAGAATTTGGAGATGTTTAGGGGCTCAAAAATGTTAAGACTTAAGAGCGAAAAAGGAGATGATCTTCGCCTAAGGTTACATATGTCTTTTAGGATGGTAGAGATTCCTTGGACGATTTCTCCTTAATCCTGCCCATCTGATCCAAAATAGTGAGGCAACAAGATTTTGGAAATCTTGAAA